TGGTAGCTCAGCGACAGAACTTTAATGGAAAAATGGATGGGGCTGGGGATTTAGGTCAGCGGCATAAGCGCCTGCCTTGTAAGCAGGCAGTCCTGAGTTTGATCCCTGGTACCGATAAAAAGGAAAAAGACAAAAAAAAAAAAAAAAAAAAAAAGAAAAGAAAAGAAAAGAAAAGAAAAAGAAAAATGGAGAGAGGGTAAATGTATGGGAGTGGGGAGAAGGAGGATGGCCAAATCCCTACATTTCAAAACAAATAAACAAACAAACCAATAGATAAGGCCTAAAATTAGTGGGGATAAGCATGTTGTAAAAAAATGTGGGCAAAAGATCAGAAAAAATAGCTAATGCCACAGCAATGTAACTGCTTCTAGGAAATGGGTCAGAGTGCATCAGAGACTGCTATATTTAACTTAAAAGCTCTGTAACATTATTTTGTATTTTAAAAACTGTATGTACAAGTCAGGCATAGTGGTATATGCCTGTAATCTCAGCACTTGGGAGGCTGAGGGAAGACTGCTATAAGTTCAAGGCCAGCCTGAACTGCACAGTGAGATCCTGCCTCAAAAAGAAAAATCATATGTACATTCTTTGACAAAATTTCTCAAAAATTTAAATATTTAAAAAATAGCTAACATTTACTGAATCCCCGTGTTCCTGGCACTTTGTTAAGTGTTTTAAATTAATTTTCTCAAGGAATTCTAGCACTATGACCTGGTTCTATTTTGCTGATGAAAAACTAGATTAGAGCGTGGTGGCACACACCTGCAAACCCAGCACTTGGGCAAAGTTAGGCAGGAGGGTCATCTTGAGTTCAACACCAGTCTAGGCTACAGTGACTTCGAAGCCAACTTAAACTCTGTCTTGAAAACAAACAAAGGAACGAACAAACAAGGGCTGGGGATGTAGCTGAGTACAAAGGCCCTGGATTCAAAATTGAAAAGAAAGAAAAACCAGATAAAGATTCACCTGCCTAGGGCTTGCTGGCTTGCAAGTGTTAGAAGGGCAGTGCAGCGAGATTCCAGGGTCCCCGCATCACTGTGAGCTTGGAAGATACAGGCCTACGTGTCAGTGGCAGCAAACAACACGATGGGCAGCCTGCACAGAGCTAGTGACTGGCTACTGGCTAGAAAGGAATGCAAGTTAGCAGGGGATTTGAAAAGGAGGCCCAGCTTGCTGATTTGAATAAATGAGGACATGCTGTTTGTCTGGCCTACCACAGGGGCCGAAGAAAGAAGAGTCAAGGTCCAAGGCTCCTATGGTTTGTTCAGTTGCAGACACCGTAGAGTCCTAGGTGTCTGTGGGCTCCCATGGGCACAGCATTGTGGTGAGTGGAACACAGGCTTGACCTTAGGAGAATCTGGTTCTGTTGGTGTGGGACTCATGCACACGTAGAGCAGAGACTGTCAACTATTCCTTTATCCATATACACCTGAGCAGCACAGTGAGCACTCGCTGGTAAGCACAGGTCACTACAAGGGTGACTTGTATAGTAGCTACCTCCTCATGTAGATGTATGATGCGGTCGTGAGGGACAAATCACAGTATGGTATTAAGCTATGACTAATCTACATTTACTGCGTATTTCCTGTGCCCATTCTGTGCGCAACCCAGGAGGCAGGCACATCCAGGACCTCCGTACTGTCTTAGGAGCAGTTTGGGCACTTTCATGAAGGTTTGCCCTGTTAGTCCTGGGGTGAGACCCTGATTTAACTTCAGACAGGTGCTGCTTTGAGGCATGCACAAAGTTGGGGCATTAGGGAATGAGATTTAAGAGTGGAGGAGGGGCAATTCTGTAGGGGACTAGGTCCAAGTCACAGGCTGGTGATACGGTCCAGGACCCAAGGAAAAGGGCTGGAAAAGCCAATTTCAGATTACCCAGGTGAAGGTGAGCTATGGGAGGGGAGAACAGCATCCCAGGTACATGAAGGAAGCCAGGACAAATCTTGGGGAAGACCGACGCTGAGCTCATTAGCAGGGGATACAGGAAAGAGGGCCAGGCTGCAGGTGGAGGGGAGGAGCTGGGAAGGTAGGAGCTTTACTCTAAGAAGCTGGACACATGCCAGTGATGTCGGGCCCTCCCTCGCCATCCCCAGGGCTCTGCTGCTTGTGGCTTCCCCAGCCTCCTTGGCCCTGCCTCCAGTGTGTGCAGCCTTTAGTCACTCCAGCCTTCTGCCGCCCCTCCGCCCTACACCCCACCACGTGGTCCCTCTACCCACACTTATTCCAGTTCTCTTCTGCTCACCACACCACACCTCACCACCAACTGCAACACTTCTGCTGTTCAGGTAATTGTTTCCTCAAACTTCATGGAAATATAGTCCACTCACCTCTCAAAACTTGAATTTCTAAGACACCCTCTCTTACTTCTGAATCAGTCACCCCCAGAACGAGGGCAGACCCCTTTCCACGCTCTCATAATATGCCACATTTCTCCTCTGCAGCACAGAAAATGGCTGAATAATTACTTCCAGTATATTAGTTACATAATATACCTTGATCTTTACCTACAGCTAAGCTCCTTTAGGGTAGGAATTGAGTTTGTATAAATCAGAGGTCAGTAAACTTGTTTTGCCTCTATGAACCATAGGCTGTTAGTTATAACTATTCAGTTTGACCACTATTGCCTAAAAACAACAAAGATGGTAGCAATTGTTTCGTTAAAGCTTCATTAAAGGTGACAGAACAAAACGTCATCCTTTACTGAAACCTAGTCTAGTACTAAAGTCACACTTTATTAGTACCCAAGCTAGTACCTCATATATAGTTGGTACTCAATGAATGAAGCTTAAATAAACAGTGGCTGGGTCTGGTGATGGACTGTGACTGGTACCAAGGGATGGCGGCTTCAGGGGTCTGGTAGAGTAGAACGGAGATGACAGTACTGTGGGAAAAAGCACTGATAAAGTTTCTCTTTAGGAAGTACACGTTTTGTGGAGCAATGTTGGGGAATGGTGCTCTTGTAGTGGAGGGGGTGGATGGGGAACATGTTTGCAAGCTACACCAAGAAGGCTGGGTGAGATCGGGCAGAAAGTGATGAAGAAGCAGTGATCCAGAACTCCAGAGTGGAGTTGGTCATACGGGAGAAGGTGACCAAAACACAAAGAAAGCTAACACAAAGAGATGAGAAAGTCTTGCATCCACCTTTCCTGGGAAATGTGAGCCAAACACTCTGGGGAGAACAGACCAGAGGCAACTAAGGACCACAAGCATGTGGCATACTGGGAACTACTGACACCAGGGAAGAATGAAAGCCCCATAGAGCCTTACCGGGACCTACAAAGCTATTGTCTTCATTTGAGAATAACCAAGGTGTCATCTAAGTATCTTGTAGACTCTCAGCTTTCAGATCTGACTCAGTGTGGAATGTGTCACTTACTGAATCACCAGTGCGCCTTGCTGCCTCTTCCTATCACTTCACTTTCCCATGCAGGTAGTGACAGGCGGGGCCCGAGGAGAATGAGGTCACACTTTAAACATGTGGACACACCCAGTTTATTTATTCATTTTTTTTTTTGTCTTTTTCCTTTTTATCAGTACCAGGGATCGAACTCACGACTGCCTGCTTGCAAGGCAGGCGCTTATGCCGCTGAGCTAAATCCCCAGCCCCTACACACCTAGTTTATTACCCCTCTTTTTTTCTGTTTTGTTTTTGAGACAGGGTCTCACTACATCGCCTAGGTTGGCCTTGAGCTCACAGCGATCCTTTTCCTTCAACCTCCTGAGTGCTGAGATTACAGGCAGGCGCCACCATGCCCAGCCCAAATTCTTAACGGATACTGAAACATATTTATTTGCAGAAATAATCATAGATTTCATCCCTGTAACCTCAAAATGTGAGGGAAACCCAGTTTGACAAAGTAGATACTAAAAATACCAAGCACATAAACTAACCACAGCGGATGGTCCTCTGGGAGTTTCCCTCTATTAGTCTGTAAAGTATTTCTTTACGAGGCAGAGAATGATCTGTGTGGAGCATAAAGCTGTATTTTATTCCAACGACGGATAATACAGAACTACTCTTTTTTTTCCTTTCTTTTTTTGTCTTTTTGAGACAAGGTCTTACTATGCTGTTCAGGCTGGCCTTGAGCTCACTTTGTAGCCTAGGCTGGTCTCAGCCTGGTCTCAAACTTGCAACGATCCTCCTGCCTCAGCCTCCCGAGCGCTGGGATTATAGGCATGTGATACCACAGCCGGCTCAGAACTATTCTTTTAATGGAGAAAACCATTTGATTGGTGGGGTGAAGGGGGTTGATGATAAGAACACAGAATAGCAGTTACTTAAATACAGTATTAAAACCCCCATGGTGGCACATGGTTGTAATTTTAGAACTCTGGAGGTTGAGGCAGGAAGATCACTGGGTACTTGAGGCCAGCTTCAGCTACATAGTTGAGTTCAAGGTCAGCCTGAGTTCAAGAAACTCTCAAAACAACAACTACAACAACAAACCAAAACCCACCAAGCAAAACCAGAAAAACCACAAACCATATATATGTGCACACACACATAAATAAGACAAAACCTATAAAATACAACTCACACAGAAAAAAATTAGTATTAAATACTAATATTTTTTGTAGAGTAAAAGAAAACTATAGGCAGTCAAATTCAATTATCCAAAACACCAGAGACCTGAAGAAATCTAACATCTCAAGATTGATTCAATATTACTACCATTATAGGAATGTTATCTTTCACAAGTATCTGAAAAGAACCTAGGATCTATTTTTATCTGCTTTTCAAGGTGTAACTGCTGCTACTAGTAGACTGAAGTTTCTATGTCTATTCTAATCCTAAGTAAGATTCTAATTCATACATTCATTTTGAGTTTTTTATTCCCCACAAGTCCGAGGCTAATTGTGTTAAGCTACACTAAACTTTACTGTCTTTTTGGAGATCAGGAGAACCAACTCAGAAGTCACTGGGCTCTACCAGTAACACACTTCTTTTGGAAAGGAGTCCAGTGCACCTTGAGTATACATAGAAGAAATTAATTTCTTACCCTATGGTTGGGTTGATGTTGGGATCAAAACTGTCTTCCACAAACCGCCAGACGATACTCGATTTCCCTACACCTGTATCCTGGAAGAGAACAAGATGAGTGACAGAGAAAAAGTTAACCTGGTGCAGATACCAAAAACATTGTGGCCTAAGTTCAGGATTTCAGAAAAATCACAGATGTGTCAGTTTTATAAGCTGAGGGGCCCAAAAGTGGTTTTTAAAAAAATCAGATTAATTAAGAGACTTCAAAACAGCTAATAACAGGGAAAAGGCTTTGCAGTCTTTAAGAGACCAGAACTTCTTTGAAAGACACGTTATACCTCACAAGAAAAGTGACACACGCACTTGCTTTCTTAAAATGTTAGCAAACTATGAATTCCTGGATTCGCTCTGAGTAATCCCTGATGAACCCCAGCCCCACCCTATCTGAGAGGCATAGAAGACTAGTTACTGGAATTCTTTTTTAATCTTGAAAGCAAAATCTCAGGAGGGAAACAAAGCACCGACCTCGTAAAACTTTGAAATGGCCAAACTGCCCGGACAAGTTAGGAAGCCGAAGCATCAAACCCACCTTTGGGGCTTTAGGGTTCGAAACCCCACCCATTGTGCAAGAAAACTCTGCTAGAAGTGTCAGGAGTGTCCCTCGAGTTCCAAATTGGCACAGGCGCGCGAAAAGAGGTCAATGCCACTCGGCAAAGCTCAAGACCTGCCACTGGTCCTACTTTGGGAGACTTGGCTAACTCCCAGCTAGTACCTGGCCAGTTGGGAGCAAACTACTTCGGGCGCCTCCCCACCGGCACCGGACGGCACGGGACGGCACGGGACGGGACGGGGCGGTGGGAGGACCCGGGGCTCCCGGGCTGGGCGAGCGTCCTGCCCGGCCCGGCGCCCTCGGATGGGTGCAGGGAGGCGGCGACGGGACGGCCCCGGGGCGGGAGAGGTCCGCGGAGGGCGGGAAGGGGTGACGGGCCGCGGGGCGCCTGAGTCCCGCCCGCCGCCCTCCCGGCCGGGTCCCTGCCACTCACCCCCAGCAGACACACTTTGAGCTCCCTGAGCGCCATGGCCGGGGCGCCAGGAGCACTGGACGCCTCCGCCCTAAGTTGAGAAGAGAGAGGCCCGGCCCAGCACGAGCATCCCCGGCGCCGCCGCCGACGGCCCAGCCCCAGCCGCCGGGTGCACAGAAGCGGCGGCCGCTCGTCCGCCGGTCGTCAGCCCGACCTGTCCCCCGTCAGTGGCCCAGAGTTGCCTCAGCAGCCGGCTCGCCGCCCCGGCCTCCCGGACGCCGTCGCTGCCGCCATCTTGGGACGCCGGCCGGGTCACCTGACCTCCCCGCCCACCTCGGCAGCCACCTTCGCCGGGAGGGCGGGGCGGCCGGCGCGCGGGGCTGGCGGCAGGGGCGGGGCCGGAGGCCTGGGCGGGGCCGGGAGCTCCTGGTCCCGCCCCAGGGCCCCGCCCCCAGGGCCCGCCCCTTGCCTCCAAGCCCATCCCAAGATGGCGGGTGAGTGGGGCTGGGCTCTGGGGCCGCGGGCGGCTCCCTCCCCCATTGGGGGACCCCTGGGGCGCCGGGGGCCTCCGCCCACCCAGACCCCTGTAACTCTGTGCGTCTCTTGGTTTGCAGAGATCCCTCTGTATTTTGTGGACTTGCAGGATGACTTAGACGACTGTGAGTAACAGTTGCGGCGACCCCGCCCCTCCCTGGTCCCTCCAGCAGCATTGGGGTTGCAGCCAGCGCGGGGCGGGGAGCCACGGGGGTGCCGGGGAATAGGTACCTCGCGGCTGGACCCCCGCCCGCTGGGACCCACGGCGGTCCCTCCTCGCTGGGCGCCGAGATAAGGCGCTCTCCCTTGAGCCTGGACTTCTGTGGTTCTTGGGAAACTTGGACTTGCTGTCACTTTCTTCTTCCCGGCCCGGCGAGAGAGGTGTGGCCCCCTCCAGGACGGAGGCTGCCACTTTTGGGGCTCACCCTGCTCCTTAGGGCGTTGAAGGGTGCAGGGAAGTTTGGGAAGTCTGGTGTGTGACTGGCCCCAACTTGTGTGACCTTCTCAAAGCCAGCTCGGTCTCCTATGCCTTCCACCCAGTGGCCACCTCGTTTTTTGGGTGGGATTCTTTCTCTCTCCTCATCCTATGAGCCTCCCTCCGTGGAGTTATTTGAAGGACTGATGGTTGGGGAGATGGCATCCTGGGAATCCATGTGCCTATTCGTGGTGAACAAAGCAGTTCCTTTCCCTTCAGCCAACGTTCTGAGCACCTCCGTGTCCCAGGCCAGGCCTTATGTTAGGTTCTGGACTTGAAAAGATGAATTAGAAGCAGTCACCCCTCCCAAAGAGCCCACAGGTTATGGGGAGACCAGAGATGTCACAGAAAATTACCAAGGGCTTTTTTTTTTTGCTGATGAAGAAGGCTTACATAGACCATCAAATAGCTAGCGGTTATCTGGGGCTTCCTGTGTCCCGACAGGGGTGAGACTTGCTCTCGTCTTTTCTTCCCGATCTGCAAGTTGCCTAATGGCAAGGGTTAGTGTTCACTGAAAACTTAACATAGACAGGGGACTCTTAAACCTTTGACATCTCTTTTGAGGAAAGGGCAAGTTAACTAAAGTAAACACCCTAAGGGGCAAGAAAAGTCAGTGGTTGTGTCCAGGTTGTGGATTTAGATCACCAGGGTGTGAGATCCTGTGTCACTGTCTACCGGTAGTGTAAACCTCGGTGACCTCATGTGTCAAATGGCATAACCACACACTTTGAAGAACTTTGTGAGAATTACATGAATAAATAAAGGATTGAAGATCCAACTTTGGGCATCGTAAACACTCAGTAAACAGATGCCATTATTATTAATGTGGCCATTACTGATGTATGTTTAACATTCTTGAGTCAGGTGCAGTGTAGACCCAGTCATGGAACTAAATGTTCCAGCCAATGCACATCTCAAATTGAAGCAATGAACTGTTGCAGTTGTGTGTTAAGTTGAGCTGCAGTCAAGGTGCCTCATTTATAGATTTGATATTTGGCCTAGCTGCAGAAGCTATTTCTAGCTGTTTGGTCATCTAACAACCCCAAGATCCATGGCTTCAGAGCAGGAGCATTTGATTTTTTCTGTGGATTGACTGAATGATGCTCTTGTTTCATGTGGTCTCAGCCAGGACTCTGGGAAGGGAGATGGTCCAAAGGGGCATCTTTGCACTGCTGGCACCAGTCCTGGAGATCTGTGGGACTATAGATGCCCTTTCCCCGTGGCTTGACTGGCCTTCTCAGAGCTTGGTGGCCACAGAAAATGGAAGATCTTTGCTGACAGCTAGCCTTCTTTAGGCTTAACTATGTGTGTGTATGAAAAGAAAGTAAGTGGTTATATAGGGAAAAATTACAATTTTACTTTGACCCTATTTGAACAAATACTGAGTATGTGAGACTTGCAATTAAAAAAGACTCTTGCAGATGGCTGAAGACTTTTCCTAATAAGCAAGAAAACCATCATTAAGGATATGAACAAAACCATACCACGATTAGGATGACTCTGGGAAACTCCTGGAGCCTCTGGTTTGGGCTGGAATGGGTGCTATGGGGTGCTATACCTTGCCGAGTTACAATATAATTAATCTCAGAGCCCTAATCAGTGCATCCCCCTCCAATTTATGGTGCGTCAGGTCTTGCACCTCACCGTGGAGGTCTTTGGAGGCATTGTCTACACCATGATGGACATCAAGAACTCTGAAGTCCCCCACTGCTTGGCTCTCCCATACCTGTAGGTGTGTTAGCGTGGGTGGATCACTCACCCGTTTTGTCAGTATCTGTGAAAATGGCATAAGAGTAGGAGCTGCATCATTGGAGTGGGTTAGGGCTAGATGGGATAGTACACAAACCATTTTAGTTTCCTATTTGGCATTATTAATGTTGATACATTCAGTATTTTCATCATCGTTTCTGCATTTTCATATAAAATTTTCTAGTTTAGTGTCAATAGCTGCTAATCTGTGAGGTAGGTTCAAATCATAAAAGTGAGAAGCAGGTTAAATAACTTATTTAGCGTGACACAGGTCATAAATGGTACAACTGCCACATTCTGTTGCTTCTCACTTTTGCTTTTTTTATTCTATCATGCAGATTAGCTTCACAAGTACTCTTAAAAAAAAAAAACAACTTTTTTGGTTGGGTTGTGTTTAACTCTTTTTTTTTTTTTTAAACCTGGGATGGAACTTAGGACCTCATGCTGGCCAAGCAGGTTCTTATGCCGCGGAGCTAACTCCCCAGCCCTTTGAGGAGGAGTGTTTTGTGACAGTCTTACTGTGTAGTGCAGACTGGCCATGAACTACTATGCAGCCCCGGCTAACCACGAACTCCCAGTGATCCTTCTGGCTTGGTATCACGAGTGCTGGAATTAGAGAGTGCTGGAATAATAGGTGCTTGCCACCACCCCAGCTCTGTCCTGTTGTGTTTCTTTTGTTTTGGGATATCTTACTGTGTTACCTAGGTGTCAAACTCCCAGACTCAAAGGTCCCCACTGCACTGCTTCAGCTTCCAGAGTCCCTAGGACTGCAGATTGTACTACCATACTTGGCTACAAATATTCTTAACATAGTGTTTCAGGCCTGGTTGTCAGTTTGAGTAGCACTGTCTGTCGCCTCCTTGGGCATTTTTATCTAAATGATGCAGTGCTTCTTGGTTTAAACTGCAGGTCCCTTTGGGCAGGGACACAGGTCATTCGTTTTATTATTCAATATCCAGCATGATCTAGGTGCTCAGTTAATGTGGTTAATGGTAACAATAATGAATTCCTACGCTTGTCTGATTTACTTTGTGATTCTTGATTAAGTTTGACTAATTTCAAAAAGAAGCTGTAACAAATGAGTGCCTTGTTTTTTTAAAATCATTCAGAGTCTTCAGGCCATCACAGCACAGAAAAGATTTAATTTTAGAGAACTGGCTTGCTAAACCAATCTAAATTCCTTCTCTGGAGAGCAGAAGGTATAGAGGATGGTTTTCATACAGGATTGTATGTGCAAAGTGGAGCTCAGAGAGTCTGCCTAGGGGTCACAAGGTCTGTGACTGTCCAGGTTCACTTACAACAGATGGAAGCTGCAGAACATTACTGTTGGTAAGGTTTGCTTGGCTAATTAGAATTTAAATGTATGCTAGTGATGGGTGAACAGAAAATGAGAGGAATCTATTGCAGTTATAATGAGACCGAAGAGACCTATCCACAAAATACAATATGTGATCATATCTGGGTCTTTAGTTGAACAAATCAACTATAAAAAGACATTATTGGGACAGTTAGGGAACATTGTACTTGGGCTGACTATTAGATAAGAATTATTAATTTTTCTAAATGCAATAATGGTATTATGCTTTTTTATTTACAAAAGACTAGCAGAAACAAACAAGCATTCATAAATGAAATGATTTGATGCGTGAAGCCTGCCTTCAAACACTGTAACAAACAATAAATGAACAAAAGGTCTGAATGAGGAATCAGTAGAAAAAAATAGCACAATGTTGATACTACTGGGAGCTGATTGCTGGGGACTATCCACTATTTTTTGCCTAGGCTTGAAAATTTCTGTAGTAGAGGGTCTAAAAAGTGAAATGAAAGGGTCACAGGTGGTCAAACATCTGCAAGAGAGTTGGAAGGTTGAATTTCAATTCTCAAGTCATACAGAGTTATTTGTAAGGTGCATTAAGCTTCAAAAGGTTGACTCAAAATACATTAGTATTTGAGGGACAGTGCTCCTTTGCAAATGCTTAGTTTTCAAGAAGTGTCTCTGAAAGAACCTCGAAGAGAGCGTACTTATGTTTATGAGAAAAGTGAGGGACCAACAAATGATATCTGGACATTTAGTGAAAATAGGATTGCCCAAGCCTGTGAAATATAGATAGTAGACGTCTTCCAGAGCATCAAGCATTTCATTTCACCTGCCTGCTTTGTTTCATGTTTATAAAAAATGTTCTTTGCAAGGATTGCAACGATCTATGTGCCCTAAGGTAGAGCCCTAAACAAAGCCGTTGTACTGTTTCTCTGAACAACATAACCTTGAATCAAAGGTTATCGATTATGTGTATAAAAATCTCCTTGTCAAGTAAAATAATTTGAATAGGAACTAGTATTCTCATTCTGAAGAAATAGAACAAAGCTCTATTAAGCTGTCTCTAGATCGAGTGGTTTTCTAAATGAGAGCTAGGTTCTCTCCGTTTTCCAGTTGCAGCCCACAGGTAGCTGTAAACCACACATGAAAGAATGGGCATGATTGTGTCCCAGTAAAACTTTACAAACCCAGGCAGTAGGTTGACTTTGGCCCACCTGTGGTAATTTACCAACCTCTGCTCTAAATGAAACTTAGAGCTGCTGTGGGTGTCCATGAACCACTGTGTCTTCGAATGAGCCATTGGGTCTTTGCCCTAGGTTTAGTGAGGAGAGCTTAGCCTGTGTGAAGACCACCCCTATTTTGTTGAATAATCCTTAACAAGTTGCACATACTTAATGTCTTATTTCTCCTGTGGTTGAGGATAGAATATTCTTTTATTGGGGGTGGGGGGAAGGACAAGCAGCCCGGGTCAGCATGGTGGAAGCAGAGCAAGCTTTGCTCTCCTTCCTTCCAGATGCATTTTATTTGGTTGACCTGTATTTTCCATTTCCTCTGAGGTCAATGGATGAATGTCAGAAATTTCC